ACTATTGATCGAATAGCGATAAAAATTTTTCATTATTTTTAAACTATAACGTTTTCTTTTCATATAAATCAAGTCTTAACTGTTATTTTTGACTGAAGCATACCGTTAAAAACGATTTATTGTTGACTTTTTTGAAAAAAATCAAATACAATTTAATCACTGAAAATTTGTATTAGGAGTAGTATATAAATAAATAAATATTTAATTATCAGAGAAAAATTCTTTCTGCAAAAAAAAGCTTTTATTTTAGAACCAGATACATTCAATCTTCCCATGACAGTCGGGTCTACGTAACCGGAACCACCCAAATCGACATGTAAATCCAATGGCCAAGGACTGTTACTCCTGCTGATTGCCGGTAACTCTTTGGGGGATTTTTGTAATTTATTATTTTTTCTTAGCAACATTAGTTCTGCAAATATGAACGCGAATAATGTATTTTATGTTTAAAACGGCAACTGATTGATCTTCTTTAAACAAAACTTCCCGAAGAGATATTAGCATTATTTTCACCCAAAAATTACTTTTCATTTATGTTTTATCGGGGTACTATTTACGCCGGGTATTGAATCAAATTATGTGCATGTTTGAAAACTTTACTAAAAATTACAGATCTACCATCGTAACGCTAAACGTTCATTTGCGACAACATTCGCAGAGGAATTATTCCAATCCGGCATTATACCTTCGGATACAGACTTTAGAATATTTAAAAATTTCGGTGATATACCTGGTAAGCCCCTGCAAATGAGTAAACCAAAGTGAAAATTTTAACAAAAAAGTGAAACGAGCTACTAAATTAAAAAAAAAATATATATATTTTCCCAACGTGTTTATAGGCTTGGATATTGCACATTTTAAAAATGGCTATGTATACCACACGAAATTCGATAGGATTGATGTTATACCACGTGGAACGCTGCAATCTACAGGTGATAATATATTGGCACTTGCGCGTGCTTTCAGCAATTCTACAGAATTAAAAGATCCAGAGGTAGGTAAAAAAGAGTATAGCTCCCTACAGCAAATAGATCTTAACAATAAAAATATTTACATACATATTTTTGGAAAAAAAAGTTAACGAAAATTAAAGCTTCATTTTCAAATTAGTTTATTCATCCGGTAAATATTAAAAAAAAAATAACAAAAATAATAGAGATTTCTTTAAACACAAAGACTTTTAAATTTTCCGGATTCATTGTTCTAATTCTGAACTAAAGTTGAAGTTGAGTTCACAACTAAAAAGCGTTCAGAACTTTTCTCAGTTGCTCTCCCAGAGAGAGAAACGCAACAACAACCACCAGAAAAGTTCTGAACTGTAAAGATGAATCCGTTTAGTTCAAAACTTTTCTTCCATGTGGTTGTTGTTGTATTTCTATCTTTGGAAGAAAAAGTTCAGAACAAGAACGATGAACCCACCATGATGAAATTATAAACAGGTGAAGTAATAAAAAAGCTGTATCGCTTTATTTTCCTGACATTTGGTTATCTTATAAAAATTTGTAAAAGCAAATCTTTCTTCTCGCTCTAATTACTACACCCATGATAAAAAAAATAGCAAGTTAGAACAGCTGAGAGGAATTTTCCGAATTCCTGACGTTTGCAAACAATTTAATTTTATAATTTTACAAACAAACTCACACACACATTCTCATTTTCAATCTCAAACAACAACAACTTTGAACAATTCCTTTTTTTTACTCTCAATTTTATATGATTTTAAAATGTTGGCAAACTTCAAAAAAAAAATTCATAGCCGACGAATTGAGAGAACGGTTTTACCTTACTATGTTTTTATCATGACTACGATCGGTATAAATTCACCATGGAATCCGCCTTAGAGGGATTGTCTACACAAGGTGTATTAAAAAAGGTGTGATTGACAACTCAGTACGGCTCTCTTTTAAGGTTCTATATTGCCCAAAAATATAAACAAACGATTCAAAGCTTATATTTTTTCAATTATATAAACGTGAGAATATAAATTTATAATGCATTTAAAAAAGAGATAATTTTTTCGGTTTTGTCGTAAACATTTTCGTTTTACTTTTAAAGTTGAGTGATTTATAAATATTCGCGCCCAACACTTATAAAAGGTTCATTTTAAAAGCATAAGATAAACATAATACTACAAACGTTTATTTAAAACTTAATTTAGCAAGCTTACCAAGGCGAATTTGATAAGATGGTGTTGGAGCGACAGCTGGGTTTTTCGCTATGGAGAGTCTGATGTGTTTGTTGTAATTCAAACCAATGACAGTATGAATACCACATATAACTTTTTAGTGTAATTTTTTACTTATACCACCTTATTAAATTCGCCTTGACGCTCTCTTTACTTTTAAAACCACTTATAGCTCAGTTATGCATACTTTGCACTGCACTGCATAGCATGTCATCTTTACGTACATATCAATGCTGTGCATTAGGTAACCGCTTACATGCAAAGCTCATTTAACAGATTCCTTATGGGACAACTCTCAAGCAATGCCAAGTATGCATAACTGAGCCATTACAGAGATGCTTATTGGGTAATTGATGTATTTTTATGTTCACATTATTTTCTTTATTTCTATGAAAATACAGAATCATGCCAGTGGCCATGCAATCTTCTATGATTTCCTCGGACTTTTCGTCATCGAATACACCGAAGATACAGGCAAAATTATTAACACAGCCGTTGTTGTTGTTGCTCTAGTACTAGTTGCCATATCCCTATGGTGTATTGCTGAAGATTCTTTCATTTCCATCTGCAGCGTGTTCAAACTCTTCTCGCTGATATTCATTCTACATTTGGTGGGCTGGATATTGGCTCTCGCTTTGCCTTTACTTGTGGCAGTTGCACTCGATAGTGCTGCAAGTTCTATGACTTGGTTTACAAACAAATGGCTAGTTTTGGGCTTATATGCTTGCCCGGCACTTTTCGGATTGAGTGTGCCCACATTACTCTATCTGAGCATAAGTCGGAATGTAAGAGTCTAAGCGGTGGAAAATCTGATTTTTATTACTTAAATTAATTTCGTTCTCTCAAAAGGATAAGGTGTCACACCCATATCGCCTTCAACTGGTCTATCACGCGCACACACTAATCCTCTCGGTGGCTTGTATTGCTCTCACATATGTTGGCATACGCAGCTCGTACTTTCTAATGATTTCACTAATCTTCCAAGACATCGCTTTGATAATAAATTTTGTGACCACGCTCTATCGACGAGGTGAGTTGGCGTTCAATTCAAGATACATAAAAAATAATGGAACTAACAAATTTTTAAAATTTGTATCGCACTGACAGCCTATTACTGGTCTATCTTCGTCACGCTGAGTCAAATTATTCCCTTCCTCTACTTCACCTCTCTTTACAATGCTTTGCTTACCGCTCTTGTTCCCATGATGGGCCGATTTGGTACCTCAACTAATCCGGATTTGATTATCGCTCTGCTAACCACATTAGGAACCCTGTTGGCCATGGGTTATTTGGTAAGTTTTACAGTATGTTGAAATTTTCGGTGTAATATACATACAAACGTACATACATCCCTCTGGCTCTTTACAGATCCCACTGTTAAATATATTCAGACGCCCTAAATTGGTTCTACTCATCCTTCCCACTGTGACAATAGTTTTTGGTGCTCTCACGCTAACACTGATCGGATTCCCATACCGACCCCAAACTAATGTGGAACGTGTCCATGTTTTGGTAAGTACATATCTATACCGTTAAATTTAGTTGGTACAATTTATTATTATTTCTTTTCCGATTCAGCAAGTACAACGTGTTTTCTATGATTATGATGGATCCGTAAGTCTCAATGACTCTGGTTATTATTTCGACTTTCAAGACAGGCGTAAAAATCTACCCCTCGAATGTGAGTGAAGTTATTTAGTGTTTACATGGATTCATAACACAGAAACATAATACATTAGACATACATATAACCATACATACATGTAACCTTAATTCACAAAGGCCGTAAACAGCAAATTTTCTATTTTACAGAAAAAGCAAAAAATATTATAAAAAGTAAAAATTTATTTGTGGAATGAGGGTAGGTTTATAGCAGTACTTATGAGAACAAAATAATGGAAATTTTAATTTGAGTTAATGTCGGGTATTTGCCTTCGAAATTTATGTTCGGACGTTACTGGAAAAGAAAGCGACTTCGATATGACCATCAAAGTCAACCGATCTCGCAAATTGTCATGCATGGAGAGCACAATCTACAAAAGTAATTAGAAGATAAAATAATGAAGTTCACAAAATGTGGTATAAAAGCAAACTAAAGGTTGGATTAACTTTAAAACAGTTTTATATGTGCGTTCGGGACGTTACGTTAAAACCAATGCTATTTAGAGCTTTGTTTCAAGAAGTAAGAAGGGCAAATCAGATTTCTCAAATAAATTTGAAAAGAAATATGAAATAAGATTATGTTGTATTATGCCCTTTTGACACAAAAATTTGAGAACTCGAATAGCATGCATTTTTTGCGATTTTGGTTGACTATTTCTCGGATTCGCCCATATCCTACCAAAATCCGTGAAAAACTGAGTTTTGAAAAAAGGTTTTGGTTAAGGCCCTTGAAAATTAAGGTGACGACGATGTGTACATATAAACAATATTTTAACACCTCAGGGAGTTAAGAAATTAATACTCTTTTAATATTATTTCTTTTCAGCCTATGTCGATCTAGAGGATTTATATTATGTGAGCAAGAATTGTTCCACATATATGTTTTGCGGTGTACCCGTGTTTAACCACCGCTTTCAAAAAGCGGTTAAATATGCCGCTTGGCTACCGCGTGAAGAGCCCATCGAATTGCCCGGCAGAGCCAACCTTACACTCATCAGCAAAACTGCCAATGCTAGCGACGAAAGCGTACGTTTCGAATTCGAACTGCAAGGACCACCGCATATGAGCATCTTTGTGCAACCAATCGACGACGTAGTGGTGAGCAGTTGGTCGTTCTTGGAAGAAATGCTTCAGAACAAGGCCACATATCAGCCACCTTATCACATCTATTTCTCGTATGGCAAGGAAAATACCCCATTAAGTTTTTACATTGATTTGAAGGTAAATAAGAAATTTTTAAATGCATTAAAAATTAATTTAGGTATAATTTTCAAAATTTCAGAAAGATGACAGTGACTTTGATGAACCCCTTATGCAGCTGGGTATTTCAGGGCACTTCGTGAGTGGTGAATGGGAACGTGATGCCGAAACGAAGAAATTCCTCGCAGAACTTCCACCATACACTTATGCTGAGGAGTGGCCCACCTCCTATGATGTCTATACATTTTAAGCATTGATAACAAAAAAAAAAATTGTTAGGCATATATTGTTTATAGTATTGTTATGCAATTTTGTGTATTTGCAGGATAATGCTATATAATAAATAACGAGCTTACACAGTAAATAAACTAAAGAGTTTTCTAGGCATTGCCTCCCATAATTTTCTGCACGGCCCGATCAAATTTTCTGCGTTAATAAAAGAGTAAAAACAAGAGTATAAAAATAAAACGAGTATTTTATTTAAAAAAAAAAGACTCAGTATCGATGCAGACTTACTTGGATGTCAGTGGCTCGCCCGGCGCATAAAAAGGATTACAAATCGCATCCGTGTATAGCATATGCAAATTTCGAAACATCTTTGAGATAAAGTATAAAAAAAAAATCAATGAGAGTTTATTAAGGAAGTTATTTGATTATAAAACTTAATACTTAAAGATGTATTTTGTGCAATACTCACCGCCCGCACTTCATTCTCCCGCAATGCTATATTTCCAGAGTCCACGACAATGATGAACTTAATTTTTGTATTTGTTACAAACCCATATCTGAATAAAAAAAAAATATTAAATAAATGAAATAGTAACACATATGTGTGAGCGTTGTTTACATTTTGTGAGTCTCTGTGGAGTACAGCATGCCTAAGTAGAGTTCCTTCGATTCTGGTGTGCCCTTACTCAGTGGTTGGCACTTTTCTTCAACAACGTCGAGTGCTGCATGTACACGATATTGTAACTCTAGCTCTTTGTCCATATCGGCTGTAGTTAAGTACAAAGGCGCATTCTAAAATAATACAATATTTAAAATTGAATATTACTGTCAGCGTTTTTTTCTTCTTCTTTTACATTTCTGTATGTGAGCTTAGTAGCCCAGTACCAGAACCATTTACCAAACAGATGCAAATAAGCAACCATTAATCATCCAATTATACTGCGTGCATTGGTTAAGGATTCTAATTATAATTACGAATATACTATTTTGAAACATTATTCAAAACCTAATGGTAAAGAGCAATGGATAGTTTCTGTATGGAACAATTGCAGGATCGTTAACTTATATCTGACCGTGGATAGTCACTTCTGCAGCATTCCCCAAACTAATGAGCTCTTATGATAATTATCATTCCTTGATTAGATTCGGTAGCGGATTCGACCCGGTATCGTTATCCCGTCTGTTTTTCCTTTTCGGATTTCCGGTGCTGCCCTATGGAACTTTCGATAACATGTTATTGATTAATTTTATTGAAACAATCGTTGCACGATTATTTGGTTCTAGAGTTATTATAACCGGTTCTCTTTGGCCAGTATTACTTTACCTACACTACTGGCAACCTTTCGAGACTCGTTAGAGCAGTGCTTTTGTTTACTACAGCGATCAAATGGAGAAAACTTTATTTTATGTTTTAGATACCACTAGAAAAATATATTCACCAACATTCCCTAAAGATGTTTGTTTTTGCACAAATTTTCTTTTATAAAAATAAAACTTACATCCTTGCCAATTATTGAAATACACACAGCCATTGCTAAAACCAGCCCGATATTTCAGTCACCCAAAAATCTTACGTTGCCAGACGTACGTAAACGAATTAAACTAAACTTCTATACAAGTTATAAGACAAAAACGATAAATTTAATTAAAGTTGCTTTAAAATCAAATATGATGATGCATAATTATTGCAGTTTAATTTATTTAAAATTTTCAGCACTAGAAACTTAAATAAGAACGGTAAGTAGATCCATTACTCCTATATTACATACATGCACTGTACCCAAAACATGCATCACTTCTGGAAAAACAACAACTGTCGTATCATATGTTTACAAATTTGTTGATAGCAAGTGATATCGATTTGCATTTATTAGTTTGTAGCAATTGGAATATCACGGTAATCTAAAAACATGGCATTAGAGCCACCAGCACCACCCGCTGCTCCGGGCCGGATTCAACGACCTCATCGGCCCTTGCCATTTCC